ATAATTAAATGTGGTAATAGTGTGTAACGATTTCACCGTGAATAATTAAATGTGGTAATAGTGTGTAACGATTTCACCGTGAATAATTAAATGTGGTAATAGTGTGTAACGATTTCACCGTGAATAATTAACTGTGGTAATAGATGTAACGATTTCACCGTGAATAATTAAATGTGGTAATAGTGTGTAACGATTTCACCGTGAATAATTAAATGTGGTAATAGTGTGTAACGATTTCACCGTGAATAATTTAGTGTGGTAATAGTGTGTAACGATTTCACCGTGAATAATTAAATGTGGTAATAGTGTGTAACGATTTCACCGTGAATAATTTAGTGTGGTAATAGTGTGTAACGATTTCACCGTGAATAATTAACTGTGGTAATACTGTGTAACGATTTCACCGTGAATAATTAAGTGTGGTAATAGTGTGTAACGATTTCATCGTGAATAATTAAGTGTGGAGAAATGATTGGATAAAATGTGCTCTAATTTAACAGTGATAGACTAGAGGGAAGTTGGTTAGTCAACACCACCTACCGCCAACTCTTGGGCTACTCATTTTACCAGTTTATAGTGGGATTGACTGTTACATTATAACACCCCCATGGTCGAAATGAACTTTGTAATCAGTATTCAAATGGTTGGTTGTTCGGTTACTATGGCATACTTTGTATTTGTGGAAAAGGTTTTGTCACTTTAATGTTTTTTTTTTAGGAGACGAAACAGTACCGTTTAATGAGAAAGATAATCAAACATGTACATTTCGTAATGTTGAACCCCACCTAGTGGCGTTTCTAGGAGACAAAAAAGTCGCAAGCGAAGTTGCAGAATTCGAACCCGGAAGTGAACTTGTATTTCGATGTCGTGACATAGGCAAGTTTAGTCTCGTTGGCAGTGTGCGACGAAAGTGTCGCCGCGGAGAGTGGACAGGAATGAAACCCTCTTGTTTCGGACTGTCACAAGAGAACGATTATGCTTGTAAGTTTGATATCTTTATAATATTTCGTAATTTTTTTACTCATCCCTACTTGTTGCGTTCTTAAGGTATTGTGTAAAGGATAAGATTATGTTATTGTGTCAATGATATCCTCATCTACGTAGTTTTTGTTAAAGAATTCGGAGATATCAATTTATAATGTTATTCCACTGACATCACACATGTTTTTCACAGCATTGTTTCAGTAATATTTTTGTGTGTTTATTGTTTCATCCTTACGTGTTGACAGTATTTTATACTGATATAATTCTGTATTTATAATATTGTTTCTTTCATACATGGTAATTTGTTTACAGTATGATATAATTCTGTGTTTATAATATTGTTTCTTTACTACATGATAATTTGTTTACAGTATGATATAATTCTGTGTTTATAATATTGTTTCTTTCGTACATGATAATTTGTTTACAGTATGATATAATTCTGTATTTATAATATTGTTTCTTTCGTACATGATAATTTGTTTACAGTATGATATAATTCTGTATTTATGATATTGTTTCTTTCATACATGATAATTTGTTTACAGTATGATATAATTCTGTGTTTATAATATTGTTTCTTTCGTACATGATAATTTGTTTACAGTATGATATAATTCTGTATTTATAATATTGTTTCTTTCATACATGATAATTTGTTTGCAGTATGATATAATTCTGTGTTTATAATATTGTTTCTTTCATACATGATAATTTGTTTACAGTATGATATAATTCTGTATTTATAATATTGTTTCTTTCATACATGATAATTTGTTTGCAGTATGATATAATTCTGTATTTATAATATTGTTTCTTTCATACATGATAATTTGTTTACAGTATATCATTCTGTGTTTATAATATTGTTACTTTTGTTCATGATAATTTGTTTACAGTATGATATCATTCTGTGTTTATAATATTGTTTCTTTCATACATGATAATTTGTTTACAGTATATCATTCTGTATTTATAATATTGTTTCTTTCATACATGATAATTTGTTTACAGTATGATATAATTCTGTGTTTATAATATTGTTTCTTTCATAAATGATGATTTGTTTACAGTATGATATGATTTTGTGTTTATAATATTGTTACTTTCATACATGATAATCTTACAGTATGATCTAATTCTGTATTTATAATATTGTTTCTTTCGTACATGATAATTTGTTTACAGTATGATATAATTCTGTGTTTATAATATTGTTACTTTCGTTCATGATAATTTGTTTACAGTATGATATCATTCTGTGTTTATAATATTGTTTCTTTCATACATGATGATTTGTTTACAGTATGATATGTATTTTGTTATAATTATTGTTCTTCATACATGATAATTTGTTACAGTATATCATTCTGT